CTGGGAGCTGAAGTCCCTCGGCCCTTAAAGGTGAAAGGTTGCCTACCCCTGTTTAAAACAAACCCATACTAGGGGATATCGTAAAGTTTTAATTATCACCTTTAAATTTTTTTGACAGGTTTGTTTTGATTTGCAGTTGTTAACTTATCCAAATACCTGATATTGTCAAAGTCTGCAGACTGCGCCTTACGAGGGGGGTTCGTAAAGTAATAATTATCACCCAAAAGTTATTATGGTATATTGATGAAATGTTGTCAGTGTCATCATTGGTTCCTAAGTGCATGATGTTGAGAAAATCAGCACATTGTGTCCTTTATTTTTGTGACAGGTTGTGCCAGAAGTGACTAAAGTGTAAAATCCTCGTAAGGTGCAATCTGCAGACTTCTACAATAACGGTATTCAGAGGGTCAAGAAGCGCTGGGAAAAATATGTAAATCTGGATGGTGACTATGTAGAGATAAGTTAACAACTACAAATCAAGACAAACATTTTGTCAAACATTTTTAAAGGTGATAATTAAAACTTTACGATACCCTCTCATATCATATTTCCTTTTTTCTTTTATTATCATACTCATGATTGCTTTTATTATTGTTGTTATCTGGAATTCATTCTTCACTGAAACTGACTTGTATCCATTTATCAAAGTGACTTTGCTTGTTAATATTTATACATATCCTACAATAAAAGTTTTTTTAAAGCTACCAACAGTCAGGAAACTAGCAGCCTTCACTACACATACCTTATTTTCCTGTGTATAAGACTACTTTTTAACCTGCAAAATCTGTGGTTAAAGTGGGGAGGGGTCGTCTTATACGCCGGGTATAAGGATAAGGAGGATAGAGGTGCTAAAACTCTATATTTTGGCTGGAAAAATGGGGGGTCGTCTTATACGCCGGGTCGTCTTATATGCCGGAAAATACGGTAGATATGTGTCCAACTTTCTGCAGAATCTTTTCCTCATATCACTTCAGGTGGAGATTCTACAACCTTTCACTATGGTAGTGGGTCTCTTTTGTGGTAATTGCACATTTACAATATCTCTCTTATTCACTACTTCCTATAGTACACTCTCATGACTCTCTACAACCAGCGTTTCTCTTTAAGCATCTGGCAGCTAAAATTTCCAATTTCAAAGAATGCCAACACCCAAATAAATAAATAAATAAATAAATAAATAATGAAAAAACTGTTTTGCTGGCAGACGTACCCCATGTGCGACGTGCTCTCTCCACCAATAATGGCCTCATCTGAATTAACCGTGTAGCATAGATGTGGGCATACTGCCTGTTGAAAGTCCGCTCTCCAAGCCTGAAGTTCTGGGAACAGTTGGTATAGGTGGAGACAGGCACACGGGCAAAGATAGAGGCCACTGCAGATGGGGAGGCCAGGAGGCTCTGAGCAGATGGGACAGTTTGCTCTGAGAACATGGTCTGCAGTTGGCTTCAGGTCTAAGTAGAAGGATAACTACTTCTACAGGATAAAAAAAAAGTTAATGCTCTTTAGTGGTTAGAGAATTAGCCTGTCAAGCTCACAATATGTTTGTATACCAAGAACTCGCTCTCTTTTACAAAAGGAAGTACAGTTACACTCTTTAAAAATTTGGAACTTGCCATCACAAGATATTGGGGATAGCCACTAACTTAACTTTAATGGAGGATCAAACAAATTCCCAGATGATAAGATGACAGGGCTACTAATATAAAGGCAGTATTACCTTTACATTTTTACTAGCCAAATCTAGCACTCCTGGAATCTCAAAACAACCTGCTAGGCTTCCCTAAATATCCAGACCCCCTTCCCTGTAACATCAACATTTAGTGGTTTCCCAGGCTTTGTACTTTTTTTGCCCTCCACTGAAATGCCTCTCCTAAGGCTCAGTTACAGAAACTAAGAACTTTCAGTTAAAATATTTTAAAACACCACCAAAAAAAACTCAGATGGTCAGTTAAATGGAAAGAGTTGCATTCTGAAGGTGAACTTAAGGTTTAAATTTCCCATATCCAAAACTAAATTACATTTTGAAGGTGAACTTCGTAGCTAAATGAAGAATCATAGAATCATAGAGTTGAAAGAGACCTCAAGGGCCATCCAGTCCAACCCCCTACCATGCAGGAATACACAATGAAAGCACCCCTGACAGATGGCCATCCAGCCTTTGTTTAAAAATCTCCAAAGAAGGAGACTCCATCACACTCTGAGAGAATGTGTTCCACTGTTGAATAGCTCTTGCTATCAAGAAGTTCTTCCTAATGTTGAGGTGGAATCTCAGGATTTGAATTTATGTTTCCCACACCCAAACCTAAAACCTACTCATAAAACCACACTAGACATCATGTACTGGCAAACTTTTGTTCAGAAATCCAAACTTCAGTGTTCAAACAGAAGCCAAAGCAGTTTACAATATAGCGATATTGTTAGGACTGAGGCAATTTGGTTATATAATAAAAGCACAAGGTCATTCAAATCTTTTTACATGCTCAAACCCCATCTTCATAAAAGCAAAACATTTTTCTCATACTGCTCCACTGTTTTCTCATTTTCCAGGCATCCCCATGGACCTGACCTTGGAAGTTCCTGGTGCCTATAAACATCTGATCATTAGCCATCCTCAGGGTAGATAACCATTCCTTTCCCTCTGGCACCAGCAGCATAATATCTCCCATCATCCAGGAATATGAAACAAAAACAGGCAATCCTAAATGGCTAACAAGCACGGCAGGAACTTTGAGGGACTCAGATCCTGACACTAGATGTCAACACTACCAAAAGTATTACATTGCTCTAAAGCAGTGCTTTTCAACCAGTGGTACGTAGATCCTGACACAGAGTAACTGAATCTCATCATAAGCAGAAAATGAACAGCGGAGGCAGTAAATTCAGGTGCACATACACAATGGTCAGAATGTTGACACAGGCTGGGGAAACCCAGATTCAAATTCTCACATAGCCACGAAGCTCCTGGAGCACCCATGGTCCTGCCACTATTTCTCACCCTAACCAAAGTTGTTGTGAGAATGGAGAGGAAGATGGAAACCAGAGCAGATCTGAACTATGTATGCCGGCCTGATTCTTTGGAGGAAGAGCAGAATGAAAAACACAACATACACATTTACACAGACGGAAGCTAACCTTGTGTAATTTTCACTCCCAACACTCACTTTGGGACATCACAGTTTAGCGTTACAGGCACAAATACCTTATCTGTGCATATCCTATCATAAGCAAATACACCATATGAACATACCCTATACAGAGCCAAGTCACTAGTTTATCTACTTTGCCTGGTATTGCTTAAAGGAGCTCTGCAAGAATAAAGATTTTTGCAGTATGGCTTGAAAGTTTACCTAGATGTGTTGAGGATGAAATTGACACCTTGTATAAACACACCACAGAACATGCCAATGATAAGGTTTATAGTCAATATCACATTATGCTCTTATTGTTGTTGCTATGTGCCTTCAAGTCATTTCCTACTTACGGCAACCCTAAGGCATGGGGTTTTCTTGGAAAGATTTATTCAGAGGAAGTTTGCCATGGCCTCCCCGTGAGGCTGAGAGGTTGTGGCTTGCCCAAGATCACTCAGTGGGTTTCAGGGCATTATCTGCAAGACTTTTGCCTGTTCTGCAGAGCACCTGCAATAAAGCACCAGAGTTAGAGAGTAAAAATTGTAAATAACCCTTTGCTCATCATTTCTTGCCTGTGACAGACAAAAGAGGCCTTTTAATTTCTGCCTGTTGTGTCAAGATCCTACAGAACAATTGCACAGAAAACAGGTATCTGGTATCTGAGGCTCAGGGAGTGTGACTTGGGTCACTCAGTGGATTTCAATGGATGAATGGCAATCCAAACTCTGATCTCCCTGAGTCCTAGTCCAATACTCAAACCCCACACTGACTCTCCTGACTTGTCATGCAAAATAAATGCACAACTGGCAGAAACCATTTGGATGTCACTCATCATCACCGATAGGTTATGAAACATATTTATTTGACATATATTCTACTTTTCTCCTGATATGGACCCAAAGTGGCATAAAAGATTCCAGCTCCATGATTTCCATCTGTCACACAGAGGTCCCAGGAGGAAAAACAGTTACAAAAGATGCAACCCCCATTTACCCTTATGCTTGTGTTCAAGTTTTTTTAGAGTGAGCATGGTCTAGTGATTTGAATGTTGGAGTAGTAGGTCTCTGGGAGATCAGGGTTCAAATCCTACTTGACTGAGGAAGTCCATTGTGATCCCCCCCCCGAAAAAAAAAAGCTTGCCAAGGAAACCCTATGATAGGGTCTTCTGAGGATCTCTGCGAGTCGGAAACAACCTGAAGGCACACAACAACAACAAATAAGGGCAGTGAAAGGATCCTTTCTCAGGATTGATTTGGGTGGAAGAGTTAGCTGCCTGTCCAATCAGCTACTGCATAAGCAATTGGGTGGGTGTCCATCTTAGATCACAACAACAACAACAACAACAAGAACAGCCAGCATGGTTTAGTGGTCTGAGCACTCTGGAGACCAGGGTTCAAATCCCAGCTCAACCATGTAAACCCACTAGAGTGACCTAGGATGACTCACACTCTCTCAGCCTCAGACGATGGCTATGGCAAACCCTATCTGAAGAAACTTGCCAAGAAAACCCCATGATAGGTACATCTTAGGGTGCCATGATTCAGAAACAACTTAAAGGCACACAACAATGACAATAATTGATAATAATGTTGTTGTGTGTCTTCAAGTTGGTTTTTTATTTCCAGTGACCCTAATATAATAATAATAATAATAATAATATTTATTTATATCCGCCCCTCTGCAGAGCAATCAGGGCGACTTACAACATTAAAATTTCCATACAGATATATTAATACAATCTAAACAGAACATAAAAATCCCGAATCCTACTCATCCTAAGGCAACCTTATCATGGGTTTTCTTGGCATGTTTCTTCAGAGGTGGTTGTCATGGCCATCCTCTGGGGCTGAGAGAGTGTGACACATCCCAGGCAACCAGCGGGTTTATATGGATTTGAACCCTGGACTCCAGAGTTATAATCTAAAACTCAGACCACTATACCACGCTGGCTAATAACAGTGTGTGTGTGTGTTTGTTTATTTGTTCATTTATCACCTACCTCTTCAACAGTCCAACATCACCAGTTAAAAACACAGTATCAATTTAGACTCATATGTATTAAAACAATCTACATTTAAAGACTTGAAGGTACATCATCACCACATGTTCCAGTTGTGAAAGGCTCCACTTGTGGGGTTTCTGCCTCTAAGGCAGTGATTCCCAAACTTTTGTCCTCTAGATGTTTTGGAATTTAATTCCCAGAATTCCCTGACAGCTTGGCCAACACTCAGGAATTCTGGGAGCTGAAGCAATAGCAGCTTCATTTACATACCACTTCATACCGCACTATGCAGTCTCTAAGCGGTTTACAACTGTAAGCTAGTTGACCCCCAAAAGCTGGGAATCACTGCTCTAAGAAAAGAAATGTTACACAAGAGTCACAAGTTGGGGGGGGGGTAACCCCAAGACGGACATACTGAGCGACTCGAGGGCAGTTAAAACAAAGAGCAGATGAAGCCGGAAACCTCCCTGGAAGCCAAGATGGACCAAATTGAGGCTGTCCTACTTTGGCCACATTGTGAAAAGGAATAATTCATTAGAAAAGAGAATAACTCCAGAGAAAATTAGAGGACAGAAGAAACAGAGGAAGACCACACTCTCCATGGAGGGACTCTATGAAGGAGGTCATGAGTTGAGATGGACTCCAGGGCAGTTAATAGCAATAACAACAACAAATTGATTTAGGGGGGTTGCAGACTGCCAGAAATAGTGCAAATTGAGTCCACTTTAAGGGTTAGGGAATCATGGGAACTGTATTTTATTGTGGCACCAGAGCTCTTTGACAGAGAAGGCTCAATGTCTCAGAAAAAAAAACACAAAAAATTCCCATGATTCCCTAGCACTAACCTTAACCCTAAAAGTGGACTCAATTTGCACTATTTCTGGCAGTCTGCAACCCCTGTTAGTGGGGCTATTACTAATTGGATTTGGAGCATCATATATACAGTATATGATTGTATACAGTATATATATATACAGAATAGCTAGACTTACTGCATTAGAATTTTAATTTTTTTATTATTGGTTTTATTGTTATTGTATTATTTTCTTGTTGTTGTTGTTGTGAAGATACACTAAAAACATAAACCACTTCACCTCGTGTCATTGCTGGGGTGTCAGGAAACATTCAGGGAGAGCCATTGAGCAAATCCAAACAAAAACCCACCAAGAAGTGAGGATACCTTTACTGGCCAACCCAAACAATGTTGGTTTCCTAACCAAACCCCAGCAATGAACAATTTGAACTGGGTTATATTTTAAGTATATCTTCACAACAAAAGCAAAACCATCTTTTCAAATCTCGACTTTTCACCAATTTCCAAAACAAGGTTACCATTTTGGCCTGCAGGTCAAAAATATGGGATACACTGTCTATCTTCTAGTCCAGGGGTAGGCAACCTTTCCCCTTTAAGGGCCGAGGGACTTCAGCTCCCAGAAGCCTCAGCCATGTTGGCCAATAGTCCCAGGTTGGCCAATAGCTCCTGGGATTCTGGGAGCTGAAGTCCCTCGGCCCTTAAAGGGGAAAGGTTGCTAACCCTAACCAAGGACTACAACTCCCAGAATGCAACAGGAGGAGACAACCCCTATTCCCCTCAGAATCTACCTGGTCGCCTTGGAGATATATATATATTTAGAGACAGATATATATATATTTAGAGAGAGAGAGCATACCCTCCCAGCATAGAAGCCCGGCTTTTCCCTCCTTCCTTCCTTCGTTGCCCACAGCAGCGGCTAGCCCTTGACCGTTAGGCCCCGCTCACCTCGCGCCTGCGCAGAACGAAAAACGCGCCAAAGGTGGGCGCCCACACGCGGCCCAATGAGAGAGCGCGCGCGCGCGCGCGAGAGAGAGAGAGAGAGAGAGAGAGAGAGAGAGAGAGAGAGAGAGAGAGAGAGGCGTCGGCAGAAAATGACACACAGAAGGCGGGCTTTTAACTCGCCCCTAGATTTATACAAGGATAGAGTGAACGTTCTTTTCTCTGGAATGTGAATTCTTGGTTCCTTTTGACGCCTCCTTCATCTTAGACTCCTGGACTAGGAAGAGAGGAGGCCCCCCCAAGGGCCATACCATGTCATGTTGTTAATGGGGGGTTTTGCTGGGGATTTGGACCGCACCAAATGACACCCTAAAGGGGTGTGTGACACCCATGGTCCTCAAACACCTACTTTTTGGGTAGAGATGGGCTATGGCATTCGCCTGCTTTAAAATGCTTGAAGAGGTGGTGGGAGTGGGGTGAAGCTCAGTGGAAGGAGAAAGGAGAGTCCCCAGGATTTATTTATTTTTTTAAAAAAAAATCAAATTTCAATTTTTTAAAAAAATTCAAAAATTTCAAAAATTGGATTTTTTAAAAAAAAAATAAAATTCTTTTTAAAATTAATTTTTTTAAAAAAATCACATTTTAACCAAATCTTCACTCTGTATCTAATAATAATAATAATAATAATAATAATAATAATAATAATAATAATAATAATAAATTATTTATGTATAGGCTGCTCAATCACAAGGAATCTGGGCAGGGTACAGCAATACAAAATACATAGAAAACAATAAAATTCAAAATTAAGTGTTGCATGTATCTGTAATATCTGTAATTACATTTAGGTTGTGCGTATGATATTGTTAATTTGAAGGTATGATTTTAATTTTGCGGGTTGTCTTCTGTCACAACTGTTAGGGTAACATTTGGTGGTATAGATGGGAATGACGTCCGACGAGGAACATTAGTGCAAAAAGAAAAAAAAAGCATGACTAAGGAGGCAAATTGCTTAAATCCTGTGCAGAAATAGGATTTAAACATTTAGGGGGAAAATTTAGGTTGTGTTTCAGACATGTTTGTATAAAGGAGAAATAACGTGACATTAACCCAAACAGAAAGTCACCAAAACCCTCTCCTTTTTACTTTCGGAAGTTCCTGAAAGTATAAAGGAACAGGTTTTGGCGACTTTCCATTCGGATTATTATAGAATCATAGAATTAGAAGAGACCACAAGGGCCATCCAGTCCAACCCCCTGCCATGCAGGAACTCCCAATCAAAGCATCCCCGACAGATGGCCATCCAGCCTCTGTTTAAAGACCTCCAAGGAAGGAGACTCCACTACTCTCCAAGGGAGTGTGTTCCACTGTCGAACAGCTCCCACTGTCAAGAAGTGCCTCCTGATGTTGAGGTGGAATCTCTTTCCCTGGAGCTTACATCCATTGTTCCCAGTCCTAGTCTTTGGAGCAGCAGAAAACAAGCTTGTTCCCTCCTCATTATGACATCCTTTCAAATATTTAAACACAGCTATCATATCACCTCTCAACCTTCTCGTCCAACCCCCCTCCTTTACTGATTACGTTACACTTCTACTTGTCATGTGCGAATGAATTTAGCATCTCAGTTTTGTTCTTTTACCATCAATGTTATCTCTTTGGCTGTGAAACAGTCTGCCTTCAAGGCTGAAAAACAGCATTCCTTGCTATCTTTTCCAGTGAAGCAGAATTAAAAAGCCTTTTACAAATTGCTCTGAAAATGCACAGTTTTAAACATAGAAAATAAGACCCCAAGGGTCATCCAGTCCAGCCCTAAATTAGTCATGAGCTTTGTAGTTTCTTTTATGTCATTTTATCTCCTACACCTCCAAGTTATTTTTAACTTATGGCGACCTTATCATGGGGTTTTCTCGGTTTGCCATTTGCCATTGCCATCCTCTGAAGGATGCCCAATGTTGCTCTAGTAGGGTCCTGAACCCTGGTTTCCAGTTGTAGGCTGCATCTGCACTGCAGAAATAAACCAGGTTGACAACTCTTAAACTGCCATGGCTCCTTGCTATGGGATTCTGGGAACTGTAGTTTTTCTAGACATTGCGCCTTCTCTGTCAAAGAACTCCAGTGCCACCACAAACTATTGTTCCCAGAATTCCATAGCATGGAGCCATGGCAGTTAAAGTGTCAACATGGATTATGCAGCATGAACGCATTCATAGGACCTTATCACATGGGGGAAATCCCATGCAGAAACGGAATTTAAAAGCTAGGAAAAACCAGCAAAAGCAGGTTGATTTTCACACACATCATTGTTAAAGTGTTGTTAACCCGAATGGAAAGTAGACAAAAGCCGCTCCTTTTTTGGGGGCGATTTTCCAAAAGTAAAAATTAGGGGCTTTTGACTACTTTCCATTCAGGTTAACAACACTTTAACAAGGACGTTGTGTGTTTCGCAGGGTTTTCCCGATTTAAAACCCTGTTTCTGCATGAGATTTCCCCAGTGTGATAAAGTCCATAGTCTGGTTTCCTGGATGTGAAAAAAGTGCATTTTAGTTGTAAGAGGGAATCCTAAAAAGGGAGTCAATGAGTTGGAAAAGGCAGGTTTACAGTTGAACATTAAGAAAACACAAACAGTGACCACAGATGACTGATGTAACTTTAAAGCAGGTGATAAATGCATAGAAACGGTTCAAGATTTTCCATACCTTGGCTCCGTCATCAGGCAGAACGGAGACTGCAGTCAAGAAATCAGAAAAAGCCTAAGACTTGGAAGGTCAGAGGAGAAAGAAAACTAGGCAAGATCCTGAAGTGTCAAGATATATAATTGAATACTAAAGTGAGGATTGTCCAAGCAATTGTGTTTCCCAGTTGCATGTTTGGTTGTGAAAGCTGGACAGTGAAGAAAGCTGTTGTTGTTAACTGCCTTCGTGTCGATCTCAACCATGGCGACCCTATAGATGAGCATCACCAGGTCCCTGTCCTCTACTGCTCTGCCCAGCTCCTGCAAACTCATATATTCATGCTCTCTTTAATAAAGTCCATCCATCTAGCATGTGGCCTTCCTCTCTTTCTACTTCCCTCCACCTTTCCTAACATTATTGTCTTTTCCGAATTAAAATGTGCTCATTGACCTGCTGGAGGGGAGTTCTGAGGACACCATGGACTGCTAAAAAAACCTCAGTAAGTGGCTCCTAGAGCAAATCA